CAGGGAGTAACAACCTGTGTTTCCCTCTCTGCCGGGAAACCCCTGGACTTCTGCCTTTAGGGATGAGACCTGGTCTGTATGACAGGACTGTCTCTAAAACTCCTCAGAACGGAGGGGATCAGGCTGCAAGTTGCAACACGTAACCCCTGCTATCAGCTTTGGCCATCTATGCCTGGCGAGAAAGCTTGCAGCCACTCCGCGTAACGTCCGTGGAGTGGGCGCGCGTTTAGGTGGTGCGTCATGTTTTAACGGATGTCAGTCAATCCACTGCCTCAATCGCTGTCATGAGCCACGGGAGTGTGTTCTGCGTGACCCACAGGCGAAGCTCTGCTCTGAGCGTGTCTGTGTGCTGCTCTTGACTGCGGGTCCACATTCATGTCTATGTGGAACGGTGTGTGTTGAGGAGAGGCGTGTGAAAACTGTTGATGCCACGGGAGCGCGCGTTTGACACCACTGCGGTGAGACACGTGTCGCTCCTGCCGAGAGCGAGATACATTATTGGGCTCGTACAGCGATCTCACATTTATGTTGACATGAGCGGCGAGCGCTGAAAACTGTGTGCGCACCTTCATAACGCAGCGCCGTATGGGTGAAGGCTACTGGCGCCGCGGGAGCGTGCATTGGCACCGCTTCGTGAGGGTTGTGCAGATTGGGCTGAAAAAACAAGTTACTCGTTGTGCGGGCCACATTCACTTATGACTGTTGTGTCATGCGGGCGTCTCGCCTTGTTTGGAGCGACGGTGATTGAAACAACCTTTAAAAGGCCACCGGCTCATTCGTGGGGAGGGGGGGTGACGGAGCCGCTGTCAGGTCATCCGAGCTGACAGACTGGCTAAAAAGACACTTTCATCATAAAATGATGTTTTATTCCCACATTCATGTCATCTTCACACACATCCAGCAAACCGTCATTGAGTCGTCTCCCCCTGAGCTCTGTGGTTTGTTGTCCTAGGGTGCCCCCTGTTGGCGATCTCTGGGAAAAGCTGAACTTACGGATGCCGGGGATGTCTGATGGGCGTGGCTGATGTAGCAGAGCGGGAAGGTGTTGTGCAGCTGTGGAACATCTTGAAAGTGATCTCTCGTCGATGAGGGCCCTCCAACAAAAAGCTTTCTGCAGCTCCTCTGAGAGGGAGGTGGAGAGACGGACCAGGTGAACCTCTGGGAAACCTCGTCCTCCGGCTGCGATGCAAGACCGGCAGACAGCAAAGAGGCGCACCGGTTGAAGATGACGTCAGCTGCCCTGCAGAGGGAGCGTACGTCTCCTCCTGCCTCTGAACGCCGTATGCCAACAGCGTAACGTGCTGTTCGCTGCGGCCGCCTGGAAACGCACGCTGGTGAGCTCGGTTGGAGAGCGATGTCACCATCTCGTTATGCTATCCGGAGGTGCAGGGCGCTGGTCCAACCTGGACATCTTTGCTCCGAAAAAAGCCTCAGAAAAAAGCCTCCGTCAAGGCTCGGCTCCCGGGGGCACTGAGGGAATTTCCGCTCGGTGAAACCCCTCCACTCTGGTGATGGGCGCGGATGTGGGAACCGGCGCCCTTTTCTACCAGGACTGGCTGCAGCCTCGTCCCAGTAGTACGTCACCGCTGGGAAAACGAGGCCAGATGGGATCAGGACGGCGAGCCGGAGTGGAGCCCAGAAACCTTCCCGCCGGATCATCCAAACTGGCGGAGGAGGCGAGGGACGGAAAAAAAGTCCCTTCATGTCAGCCGCCTCCTGGATTAAGCCGGGCAAACAGCAGAGGAGGGCGCCGGAGGCTTGGAGCGGTGTGGTCGCCGATGCGAAACAGGGTGTGGGGGGGGGGGGTGAGCATACGCTCAGCCCTCCTCTACCACCACTACGCTCTCCAGGAGGGAAAGATTTGTGGGAGGCTGCTGCTGACGTCGCCTGTCCCGGAGGAACCATCCGATTCGCTCCGAGGGTCGGCAATAAGAGGAAAATTACAAGATGGCGTTGTCCAGCGTGTAGCGACCTGCCACTAAGAAATACTCCTCGGCGCTTACCTTGAAACAAAACTGCTCGTCTGTTTCTCCTCGGGGAGGAGAACTCACCTGGACGACAGGAGGTTGACGTGGCGGGGCCACAAGCAGTCTTAACAAAGGTTGGTCAGCTAGACAACTTTCCTTTGTCGTTCTTCTGACAGTGCTATTAGCTCGCTGAAGAAAAATGGGAGCCGATTACCCGCTCTTAACATAATTTATATGGACCGGGTGGGGCCCACACAGCAGGTGGGCGTGGACTAAATTTTTCAGTGTAATGCTTAGCATGACGGGATAAACCCACCAGCGACAACCTTAAAGGGCGAAGCCTATATGAAATAGAACAGGAGTATGGCTGAAAGCCATCCTACACAGGAGGACGAGTTCACCACAATAGTTAGGATCTCCATCAAAAAACTTGGAAGGACGGATGTTTGGTTTTCATGTTGAAGGTTGATGAACATATGGCATGGGACCCAGGGGTGGGCAAACTTTTTGACTTGCGGGCCACACTGGGTTTTAAAATTGGAGTGAAGAGCGGGACAAGAAAAGATGGATGGAGTATTTGTGTGATGTTGCACCCCGACGCAATAACAGCCGCCGGGACTAAATTAATTATGGACAATTCCACCTTCTGCACCACTCAAACAGTCATGGAGTCAGGATTATATGGTAGAACAGTGATTTTATTTACAATAGTGAAATTATTGACTTTGTGGAGTCTTACCAACTTCAGGCCCAAACAACAAACAAAACAAACCACTGTATTTTCTCTTATCTGAAGAAAAATAAAATGAACCAAGCCAAAAGTCTCTTACCTCACTATGCTAATGGAATACAGGAGAAAAGTCAAAATAAAGTGCCAGCTCACCTCTACAAATTCTTCACAAAACTTTTTACAACTACAGGATCTAAAGTTGATGACAGTAGGTCAGCTGTAGCAGGTTGGGAATGGAAGCAGACATCATCCTCCTGCAGCCAGTCCTCGTCCAATCACAACAGAGTACCCAAAGAATAATTCACAGGTTTTTGTCTTTCACTTTTTTCTCTTTTTTCTTTGATAATTCACACACAATTAACAGTTTAACACATTCACATACAAAACATGACTTACAAAGCGATTCCTGATGGATGATGCAGTGAAGAAAAATAACATCCTGGTCAAGGTTTTCCTCTTTTACTTTATCTTGGATTCTTTTCAGCAGCCCAACATGGTTTCCAGTTAAATTTGGTGACCCGTTCATTATGACATTTTCAAGTTTACTCCAGATAGCTTAATTCTCTCGATAACAGCAGACACCTCATAAAAATCTTCTCCCCGTGATTTTCCTTTCAGAGATTCCAGGGTCAAAAACTCCTCTGTAATCTCAAAACTGTTGTTAATCTTGCGGTTAAAAATTAGAAACTAAGCAGTGGCTTATGTTGTTACTTTCATCCAATGTTAACGAATAAACCGTAACTTAAAGGACTCTGCCTTTTAGCTTATTTTGCTGGCTATATCTTCATCAGTCAGTTCCACAAGGCGAGTCACAGTCCTAAGTGATAAACTGACTTTTCTAACTTGTCTTGGGTCTCCGGACACAATCGACCTGCTCTGTCTTTACCATGCCAGAAAGGTTTACTAGCAGTTAGCAGTTAACAGACAGCTGATATTGCACTCTTTGAAAACCCCAACTGATTCTTGGCATATATGCAGCCTTTGATTGGACCTCAGTGAAAAAATATGTTGTTGTCCACTCCATATTAAACATTCGGCACTCTGTCCACTTTTCTTTGATAAGCTCGTTTTTACAGAAGAGTACATAGGGCAATGCTAAATAGTGACAAAGAAGAAGAAAAAGATGATTACTTCTTTGTCTTCACTTTTACTTTACCTCCAATACAGTGTGCCATCTACTGGGGAAATGTGGGAACTACAGGTAAAATTACACCAGGTTTTTTTCCTATTAAATGCAGTTTTTTTTTTAATTTAATTTAGACAAGTTCGGTGGACTAATTAAAAATCCCAAAGGGCCGTTTGCCCATGCCTGGACTAGGAACTTTGGTTACGTACTGTAACCCCAGATTCTATGAGTATAGGCGTAGCCTTTTAAGACTGTCGCTAGTGGGTTTATCCCTAGGCGTGCAGCGCAGCACTGAAAACTTTAGTCCATGCCCACCTGCTGTGTGGGCCTCACCCCCAGTCCGTATAAATTACGGTGAGACCGGGTAATCAGCTCCCAAATAGCTTTTTTCTTCAGCCATTAGGAACCAGTGAGGCCCAGAGCTTAAAGGGCTACGCAGAACTGGTTTGATCCACATTGGAGTAAGCTGTTGGAGGAAGAATCGGTTTTGTTGTGTGTTTCCTTGACTGATGAAGCCTTCCGGATCGAAGGCGAAACGTTTCAGCACAAAAAAAGAAACTGTCCAGATGACCTGACTGAAAAATGTTGGCTAACAAGAAGCAGTTTTAAGAAAGTGGCAGGACGGACCTTAAACCTGGTGGAGAAGATGTTCAAATTATGGTTATGGTCCTTGTAAGTAGATGATTGCTCCAATGGAGGGTTCCTGGGAGGACTCGGGATCACAGATATCATGGGTAGACGTGGGGCTGGTCAAGGAGACAAGGAATAACTGGTAACAGGAGCTACAGAGAGTACACAGGAAAGCACAGATAAATTTAGCACAAGGAGTCTAGAAACACTAGGGCCAGACAAGGTACCATTAGTGGGACAACGTTCCAGCGGAGACTAGCAGATCCAAACAGCCTAAATTGCTGCAGGCACTCATCAGTAGATGGGAAGCAGCTGAAGATAATTAGTTCCACTCTGCCACTCGGGAGCTGCAAGATAGTGAGGAGAAAACCCAGAATCCCCACAGTTTTCAGATTTTCTCAAACCCTTAAATTAGATTTTATTTTCTGTTCACATTTTGTAGTTCTTCTGGGATTCTATTGTAGATTTATTCTTTTAATGTCTTGAGATCAGAAACAGAACATTTTCTGTGTGGAGGCCCATGTTATGACTCTTGTTCACTGATCGTCTCTTCTTTAAAGGTAAACCCGCCTCTCACAAAATGGCAAAGACGGACGCAAAAAGAATGGAGAGATACAAATCAATGATCTGCAAAGTAGCAGCTGATTTTGAAATCCATCCAGCTCTGATTGCTGCCATCATTTCCAGAGAGTCCAGGGCTGGAAACACTCTCAGATGCGGCTGGGGAGACTGGGACACACGTAGAAGGGCATACAATGCCTGGGGACTGATGCAGGTTAGTATCAGATCATGGAAGACAAAAACACCTGCTATTTATAATGAAATGTACTTTTTTTTTAGAAAACAAATTAAATATGTTGTTGCCTTGTCCAGTTTAATGAACTGAGGGACCAGTAGATGTGTGACATTCAAAAATGATCCAAAGTGTTATAATGACTCTTTTAAAGAAACAATTTAGTGCAGGTCTTCTTCGTGTTTCTACATTTTTCTTTTCAGATGCACATACACACATGCTCCTCCTTGGCTTTCCCACTGAGATAAAAAAGAACAGGAAAAGAGGATGAACACATCTGTCATTGTAAATGGCAAACATTCGCTCTTTAAGGGAGGGGGACTTGTGCACTTGAAGTCACTTGATATTGCCATATAGTATTACATAGGACCTTACATAGGGTCCTACATAGGACCATACATAATGACATAACTCATACTATGTCACATGCCATACTACGAGACTATTTGTTTAAAATTGAACGGCTCTTCAAAATGTACAGATCCACAAGTTCTAGCTCCCTTCAAATAGCCATGAATCCCCTCTGTAACTGTGTGTGTTGACAGGTCATGATTAAAATATTACATCAATTGGTCTCTAAACTTAGCAGCACAGGCACAATACTGGTCCCATATCAGCAGGGTGTGATACTTCTGAGGCCTGGATACACATGGTATTATGGTGCAAAATACTCATACAATTGTTGTATTCTTGTGTTTTCTCCTTTGAAAAGTCGGCTCCAGCCGTTGCTAATGGCCCTTGAAATTTCAATGTGTTATAACTCAGAGAATGTGCACTCAAAACACACACAACAATGGGCTAAAACATTATTGCGGCAGGCGATAAAAGTTCTCACCAAATCATTGTTGCTTCTGCTGGTCTATCTTTTGTCAAATCTTTCTGTAAGAAGATAGCTGGCCCTAGCCTTTTTGGTGCCCTGGGCGAACAACCGCTCCGGCACCCCACCCAACCCCTCTCTTGAGTCCGCATCACCCAACTCTCCCACCCCATCCTCAGGGGTGTGAACACCATTACATATCAATTAGATTACCATGTAGCATTACACATACACTCAAAATTTATTTGAATATTTTACTTTGTATTTGAAAAATGAAATTGGAGAAAGTAAATACTATAGATTTATTTTTGGCTGCTCGCTTCTTCAGGGGTCGCCAAAGTGAACTAACTCGCACAAAGACTTAGCAATTGTTTTACACCAGACGCCCTCCCTTTCGCAACCACAGCTACCACAGCCTCTGCACTACCACTCCCCTAAATACTATAGGAAATAAATACAATTAAAAATAGACATTTCTAAATACCCAATGGAAGAACACTTCCAACACAAGAAAATCTGAGTACCACAAATGCACTTTGATCAAGACACAAATTTATTTGCACAGCTGCCAAGAAAGGTCTGAATCTTTTTCAATAAGACAATTTACTATTGCACTTCACACAAGAAAATACAGTTCATTCATTCAACCTTTATTTAAACAGAAAAATCTCATTGAGCCTCAAAGACTCATTTACAAGTGAGACCTGTTTGGACAGACAAAAACAGTGGTTAACTGGACACATGTAGGAGTTGGAGGCGAAAAAAATTCCTATCAGACTTTTTTTTTCTGGCCTGAGAAAAAAAACCCTCTACTATTAAAAAAAACACCTCGCTCAAACAGCACATAGTGATGTAGACATTCTGCAAATGGAGACGAGAGCTGTCAGCAATGTTTATAGATGCTCTCGAGGTCAATGTAAGAATTCTGATAGGATGTAATAATAAATCAATGTCCTCCGGTGCGATCCATAAACATTCTCGAGGTATGTCGAGGAATGGCCAAGAATAACGACTATGAGGATCCAAGAGTCCTGAAATGATGACACAAAGTTTATTCAGCTGGTTCCATCTGGTTATCAGTTGGAAATTCCTCAAGGGGTGGGTGGTGAGCATCAGATCACATGTTCTCCAGGTGAATTCAGATAAGATGGCCTTCAAGGCCAGCCAAGGGAGCCAAATTCAGATAAACACACAGTTGTTTTGGGGACAGGCAGAACTTAATGACATCAACCTTCAGTCTGTGTTGGTCGACTCGGTTCTGAAATGTCCAAAATATATGGCCACACCAATAGAACGTGACTGAGTAAAATCCCCAAGATCTGATCCAGTCAGCCCAAAGCATTTAAGTCCGGGTACTCGAGACATGAACCAAGCCATCATAAAGGCAAGCAGCGTGATCGGGTCCAAATTTGCTACCGACGACTTCCTTGATTGTAGATAAAACCAGCCACCAGTCGAATCCAAAAAAGCAGGAACCAGTTATTGAAAATCCAATTAAATATGCGTCCTTAAAATCCACAGATGAGAGGGGAGGTGGACGGTCATGGAGTAGGTGGTGTCTGCTAGGTTCCCTCTCAGCCATATCTCATTTCATACGATATAACAAACCCCTCAGTGTTTTTTTTCTTTTCTTTTTAAAAGAAAAGTCAAAACAACTCTTGAAGCGGACAACATCATACCAGAAGGTGAACATGGCATCAAAAAAAGCTATAAAAAAAACAACGACGAATCACCTCTGTCTGCCTCGCAGCATGAGATGGGCGACTTGAAAACTGAGATCCTTCTCGCGCTGAAGGCTAATATCTCAGCTGTCATAAAGACTGAAATAAAGAATGCCCTGGCAGAAGATTTTAGCTTCCTAAAAAGTGAAATTCAAGCTGTAAAAACTGAAATTCAGAGCTGTGTAACTAATCTCAATGGAGAGGTTGACCAGGTGAGGGCGGAGGTGAAGAAAGTGCAAGACGGTCTATCTACCTGGTCTGACGAGATGACTTCACTGCAGAGCACTGTGAGCAGCTTGAAGAAAGAGCTGGTGGAATTGAAAGAAAAATGCGAGGATATGGAAGGACGAATGAGGAGGTGCAACATCAGGATCCTCGGTGTCCCCGAAACACCTGACTCCAGCTCTCGGGCAGCGATTGCTAAGCTGCTAGCTCAGACGCTCCAGCTTGAGAAAGAACCGGTGATTGACCGCTCCCACCGGGGTTTTGGCAAGAGGAATACAGGCGGTAGGCCACGGGTCGTTATCGTTAAGTTACATTATCATTAGGAATGCAATGAGATTCTGCGCCATGCACGCAGCCGTGCCCCGCTTCGTTTTAACGGAGAGCGGATCTCCATCTACCCTGATTACACTACGAGCGTGGTCAGGGCCAGAGCTGCGTTCACTGAGGTCTGGGGGCTCCTCCGTGATCGCGGGGGCATTCGCTATGGATTACTATTTCCAGCTCGGCTCCGTATTTTGCATGGAGGGGAGGATAAGGAATTTGTAGATCCTGCAAAAGCCATGGACTATGTGAAGAAGATCCTCTCCAAGTCTGATGAAGGGAAGTGACTTTAAAATTAATATTCTGATACTGACAGTTCTATGGTTTGTTTATATCCCACATTAAGTATGTTTGGGTGATGAATCATGTCAGTTCTCTGGCGATGTTTGTTTGTTTGGTTGGTTTGTTTATTATTGTTATTTATTTATTATTATTATTCCAGGCTGAGTGGGGTCCTACTAACAGGTGTTGACTTTTTTTTTCTTTTTCTCTCTTTCCTCAAGATAAACACAAAATGTGTGGATTTCCTTCTATTGGGTACCGGGTTCACCCTGTTCTTGTGGGTGAAGTAGGAGGGCTGATACCAGATCGGGTTTGCTGTTGGGTTTGTTTTGCAAGATATGTTTATGTTTTCTTAACAAGTTTAAATCAGGATGTGGGATCACTGAGTAACTTCCACAAAGATCTATTACTTGAATGGTTGACAAAAATAATCTAAAAACCATCAATGGTTGTCCAGTTAACTTTGTGAGCTGGAACGTAAAATCGTTTAATCATCCAGTAAAATTTAAAAAAAGTTATGACACATTTGAAACAGCTTAAAGCAGACATTGCTTTCCTATAGGAGACACATCTATGCATAGATGATAAAACACGATTTTGTAAGAAATGGTCGGGTCAAGTGTTTTAATCCAACTTTAAATCAAAATCAAGAGGGATCGCTATTATAATTAATAAAAATGTGCAATTTACTGCATCCAGTATACATTCGGATGCTATCGGTCGTTATGTGATTGTGGTTGGAAAGATATACATCCTAACAGTAATTTAGCCTGTTTTTACACACCAAATTGGGATGACCATATATTTTTCAATAATTTATTTTCAAGTTTACCAATTATGTCAACCCATAATCCTATAATAGCGGGTGATGCAAATTGTACACTTTCATCACTGGATCCGAGTGTCAAGGCGAGAGTACCCCAAAATCAAAATCTGCTAAATCTCTTAGCTCACTATTAGAAAATTATGGTATTGTTGATATTTGGCGCTTCCATAACCCTAGTTCCAGGATCTATTCCTTTTTCCTCTTGGGTCCAGAAAACCTACTCACGTATAGACTACATATTTCTTGATAAGAAAATTATGCAACAAATAACCATGTGTGATTATGGAAGTATTGTCATCTCAGATCATGGACCACTGTCTATGAAGTTGCTTATCCCTAACATACATCCTGTATATTGTCAGTGGCGCTTTAACAATTTTCTGCTAGCAGAAGAGGAATATGTGAAATATATTTAATCTGAAATCAGCTTATTTTTAAAAGTTAATGAAACTCCAGGAATGTCACCTCTGACAATTTGGGATGCTTTAAAAGCTTATTTGCGAGGCATAACAATTTTATAGTGTGCCAGAAAAAATAAGAGAAATAACCAACATCTTAAACAATTAACTGAAGAAATATTAAAAGTGGATGAGTTATATAGTGTTCACCGTCAGCAGACCTTTCCAAAAAAACATTTATCATTAAAAACTGAATTTGATATTCTTTCAACACAACAAGCTGAATATCTTACATCCAAGACAAGAACTAACTATTATGAAAAAGGGGAGAAGACAGGTCGTTTGCTTGCGCATCAACTACACCAAAGGTCAGTACAACAAACAATCTTGGT